TATATATATATATATATATATATACAGCTCAATGATCTGTATCCTTTTGTAGCTTCTTTTATGAATTGCCAATTACACCCACTGCTGCGTTCCCTACATATTGACTTCTGCGCAGACCGTTGACTGTGGTTCACCCGTCGCTCGCCAATTGCTACCCTGTTGGTCCACGTAAACCCTAAACCCTAAACTCTAAACCATAAACATTTACTTTCTCACTTGACACTTCATGCGACCTTATGTGTGTTTCAGTAGTAGCCATCACACAGACCACCACCTGTACTTCAACTACAACTACGGCTAGTTCTTCACCTTAACCTAAAAACCATGAACTCTAAACCCTAAACCTTAAACCTTAAAACCCTAAACATTTAACCCTTAAACCCTTTGACCTGACACCTCATGCGGCCTCATGGGTATTGCAGGTAGCAGCCATCACACAGACCACCACCTGTACTTCAACTATAACTACGGCCAGTTCTTCACCTTATGGGATCGCGTTGGCGGGTCGCACAGAAACCCCACACTCACAAAGACGAAGCTCATGGACAAGGTATGTGTTGGATGGGTTGGATTGATAAGTGCGTATGTGTGCCAGTGAGTCGATTTAAATGTGCGTATGTGTAAACATGTGTGTGCTAATGTATGTATGTGTAAACATGTGTGTGTTAATGTATGTATGTGTAAACATGTGTTAATGTATGTATCTGCAAACACGTACGTGTGTGCCTATGTGTGTATTTGGTAATGTGTGTGTATGTAAACGTGTATACGTGCCTATGTGTGTTTGTGGTAATGTGTGTATCTGTAAACGTGTGTATGTGTATATGTGTGTATTTGTAATTTTGTGTATGTGTAAACGTGTGTATATGTAAAGATGTGTCTGTGTAAACGTGTGTATGTCTCTAAAGGCACACAGAGCCACTGTCAATAGTTCACTTACGAATGTATGGTATTTACAATCGTATGAGCGTAGTCATGTACTTGTTCAGCACAGCTAGTATCCGCATGCCACTTATTGATTGCACATTTGTCCGTAGTGCAAGGCGTTTAGTACTATCCACCCATTGTCGTACACACCTGAACCTTAATAATATGTACCGGTACAGGACCTGAATGTCAAGGACACTCCAGTTGCGGAACAGGATGAGCTTAAGAGCGTGTTCAAGGACGACGCAAACTTCCTCGCAGCTTGTTCACCACAGGTAATATCCGCTTGCCACTTATTGATTCTACATTTGGACACGTAGTACTATCCACCCATTGTCGTACACACCTAAACTTTGTAATCTGTACCGGTACAGGACCTGAATGTCAAGGACACTCCAGTTGCGGAACAGGACGTGTTCAAGGACGACGCACACCTCCTCTCAGATGCCGCCGCTCATAAAAAAGAAGAATAAATTGTCCTGGCAGAGAGATGCAGGGCCTCGAATATCCTGGAGTTGAATTTAGTTACATATATATGATATAGACCCACCGTGCTGGTAGTAGCAGGTGCTAGTTCCCTGTCGATGCAAGCAAATAAATGCCTCATTGGCAACTTTTTCTGTGTCTTCTTCTGGCCTGTGTCCAATGTTGTTAGGGTTTGGGGTTTTATTGTTCTTGCGACATAAAGCTTAAGGGTTTTAAGGTTTTGGCGTTGATGACGTACATGGCATATTAGTTTGCGCACGCGCAGTGTTGACGGACATGAACAGACAGTCCATAGTCGACAAAGCAGCCAAGGCAACGTATGAACGTATCATGTACCTACTATAATTAGGACAGGTGTATATGAACGTATCATGTACCTACTATAACTAGGACATGTGTATATGAACGTATCATGTACCTACTATAACTAGGACAGGTGTATATGAACGTATCATGTACCTACTATAATTAGGACAGGTGTATATGAACGTATCATGTATCTACTATAACTAGGACAGATGTACTACCCCACACGTGTTATATAAGCAGTGCATAAGAACTAACCACAGTCGACCAAGCAGTCAAGGCAATATATGAACGTATCGTGTACCTACTATAACTAGGACAGGTGACTACCATGGCCCCCACACGTGTTATTTAAGCAGTGCATATGAACTAACCACAGTCGACACAGCAGCCAACGGCATCACATGCCTAACATATGTCACCAACGTAATAAAGTGTCAATGACCTTTTTGACATGTGGTAGTGATTTTATTTATTGAGATCTGTTGATGGTTTTATTTATTGCATAGGCGAGTAAAATGATGTTTTTTAAAAATGATATTTTTAGTGTGATGAATGAGTGCACCAATGGCTAATGAGTGAAGGGTTTAGGGCACTCATGTGTTGTACTGAATATATTCTTTTAGGGCCTATTTGTGTCGTACTGAATATATTCTTTTAGGGTCTATTTGTGTTGTCCGTCCGAAATATATTCTTTTAGGGCCAAATTTGTCCCAACGGGTGTTGCTGCGCGGGGGGTGCACCGAGTACGACTCAACTGTACAGCTCAAGCAGCAGCACGTCAATGGGAATGAGAGCACATTCGCACCTCTATTTTAACAACCAGCCAATCACTGCGCGTCTTCAAACAGAGCTCGACTCTTGAGATCGGCCTGTCCGAAGGTGGTCTTGGTGGTGTCGTTGCAGTCGAATGTGATGTTTTTTTGAGCGTTGTTGTACTGGATGGTGATGGTGTGTTCTCCTCCGTCCACAAAGTGCAGCGTGGGTCTCTGTTTGTAGGCGGCGGTGAACTGTGTGTGTGGGCACGGACAAACGGTCAGTTTAGGGTTTTAGGGTTTAAGCGGACTGTACGTGTGGGCACGGACAAACGGACAGTTGTGCGATCAATGCTCGGCCACTTGGGATGTCGAAAAAGTGACCAAACGATGGAAACAAGCTCGAGTTTGGATCCGCGGTAGCAAATATTTGACAGAGTATACATGCATATACATATACATTATGCATCTATATCTTCTAGGGTTTAGAGTTGTATGGTGGCATGACTAATCCATGAGTCCCGGGTGTTAGGGATCTAGGGTTCTGCTTACCTTCAGACACAGTTTAGCCAGCTCTCCTGTGATGGCTGCGTTGCTGCACGAGAGCACTCCCACGTTTCGCGCCCCTCCTACGCGGGTGACGTCTTCACACACTCTGGTCATGATCTTGTGCCAGTCGGGTCTCTTGGGTAGTACAAGGTAACGGAAAACTCGAGTGTAAGTACAAGGTAACCGAAGTAGCAGTGTTGTTGTTATGATGTCTAGGGTTTTAGGGTTTATGAGGGTGGGGAATCAGCTCACTCTCCGATATGCAGCAGTTGGTAGTGTGTGTGCTGGCTACGTGGTTAACTTTTAGGGTCACAGGGTTTTAGTTTAAACTCTCAAACCCCTTCTTTAGGGTTTAACCCCTTGTGTGGCTGAGGGGTCGAGGTGTTGGTTTAGGGTTTTGTGGCAACAGTTATCACAACGCACACACCAAGCACAACATTGTCTTGTGGATAAGCAGTTGAACGGTACCCTTCCAGACAAACACGCGTACAACAAAACGCACACGCACACGCACACATATGCACATATACAATATACACAAGAACACACACACAGATGCACATGTACAATACGCACACGCACACATATGCACAAATACAATACGCACACGCACACGCACACGCACAATACGGCCAAGAACACACACCTTGTTGAGCACGCGGTCCTCCATTGCCGTTCCGTCTGTCAGCTGCTTGATGGTCTCAGTCTCAATGTTAGTGCCCGTCACATACGGTCGAATGCTTAGGAAGTACTCCCCAAACAACTCGTCGCACTGCTCCTGGATCTCCGCCAGTTCACTGACCAGCCAACTCAACTGACTGGCAGAGCGGCAGATCCAGTGCAGCGAAATGGCCTACAGCAATCGACCGAGACACAGACACATGGGTGTGAGATACGGTTGGTGAGGGGTATAGCGGGATGAAACGGGACGGGGTGCAATGCCCTGTCCTCGAAGATTTACGGACCGCATCTTGTCGTGGGATACGGACCGGGTGTACCATACTCACCTGTGTTGTATGCATGCATACCATGAGTCTTATATTGTGTTGAGTTGCAGATTGCGTTGCATGCATGTGTGATCTGAGCATTCCTCTATATGGTGCCCGTAAATCCGGATACCAGTTGTGTTGCTAGGGGGTTTAGGGTGTAGTAAGTTGTGTTGCTAGGGGGTTTAGGGTGTAGTAAGTTGTGTTGTATGCAAGTATACATGTGTTGCGTGCATGGAAACATGCTTTGTGTACGTACATTAGTTACAGGTCCACCTGTCCTGTTCTATCAGCTATAGGTCGATCTGTCCTGTTCTACCAGTTATAGGACCACATGTCCTGTTCTATCAGTCATAGGTCGACTTGTCCTGTTCTATCAGTTATATGACCACCTGTCCTGTTCTATCAGCTATAGGTCCACCTATCCTGTTCTATCAGTTATAGGTCCACCTGTCCTGTTTTATCAGTTATAGGTCCATCTGTCCTGTTCTGTTCTTACCTGGATGTTGCCTCCCCGGCCAAAGCCACCGTGCTTGGCGGGGTTGGGTGCGTTGGTGATGAAGTTATTGAACATCATAGCTATCTGCTGCACAATGCGACACCCAGCCAAACACCACAGGAACAACACCTCAGCGGTGTGGTCGTCGTATGCCCTGCAGGCGAGTAGCAGACACAGAGGTGTAAGCAGAAGCCATGCGGATGGAAGGTGGGGGGTGCGTTACAAGAGACGTGCTAGGACAAACAAATACCATTCACAATCACAGCACATGCGTGTGTGTTAGAGCACACGTATCTGCAAGTGAATTGCACTACCAAAGCATTTCAAGTGTAACACACATACTCACACTACCAAATTAATTGACATTCAAGACACGCACACGTACTTTGTGATAATGATAGCGGGGATTCCAGCGCACAGGAAGCCTACGACGAGAAGTAACTCCACCACTTGCCACAAGTGCAGCTGCTTCTGGTACAAGCGGTCCTCCTTGAACCGTTTCTGAAAGAAAAGGCCAAAGGGGTTCGAGTGAGAGTGATAATCAGGTCCATGCACATGACAATGAATTGAGATTGGTATGGATATGACGAATTATTATTTCGACTTGGAATATGTGTGCACACGTAGCACGACGAAACGTATGTGTACTGCCATCACACACACACTTTCGTCCCGGTTTGTCTATCTATCACATACCGGGATGTTCCAGGTGACGTACATGCGCATCATGAAGTCGATAACGTAGATGCCCGTCAGGACAATGAACTCAATGCACGAGATAAACCGGAAGGTCTCCCCCAGCTGATTGGTACTCCTGAGAGAAGGGAAGGAATAGCGGGATGGGCATGGGGGATAGCGGGATCTACAACTGTCATCCGGTACTATTAAATTATTGAATCACATTACTAAGATAAACACGCTATACTATCATACGGTACTTACTAAGACAAACACACTATACTGTCGTACGGTTCTACTAAACCATACCACGTGAAGGGAAGGCAGATGAAGGCGAAGTTGACCATGATCACAACCCAGAAGAACAGATTGTACAGATTGGAATGGCGCAGCATCTTCATGCGACAGGCCAATCGCTGTGCATGGGTTTAGGATTTAGGGTTTAGTGGCGAGTGAGAGGCCTTGTAGGTTCATAGATACGAGGGTGTAGGTACCGGGAGTATTCCATCCGTTGAATCACTATAACTAAACTCTATATAACACCTATGAGTGGGAACTAATCTCTTAACACCTGTAAGTGCCTACTAAGCGCTGTATATATCACAGCGTACGTATCACTCCACAAAAACCAGCACACAGCCGCAAATGCGCGTGGCATGTATTGCTGTAGTGTGCATGCAGCCACAGACACAGACACAGACACCTCACACGTACACACTCAGACACCTCACACGTACACACCTCAGAGGCACAGGTGGCTGATCCCAAGTCAAGGTCAACCGAGCGTGATGTTCGCACTTCTTGGGAATTGACGGATTGATGAGAGTTGTGCTTTGGCCGGAAGTCTCTGCGCGGGTGTGGTGTGGATGGGTTGTGTTTTCGTGTAGTGTGTTTCAGTGTATTGTGTTGTTGTTGGTTATGTTTTAGTGTAATGTGTTGTAGTTGGTTGTGTTTCAGTGTAATGTATTTCAGTGTATTGTGTTGTCGTTGGATATGTTTTCGTGTAATGTGTTGTTTGTCAGGGTTTTAGGGTTTTACACTCTTGGCTTTCTGAATGGCAACAAAGATAGCCACTCTATATATACATTGATACGATACAACAGTTATGAGGCATATCTATTATGCTACGATGTAACAGCTATGATATAAAAAATAACCGTTTTGGATACATGCCAAACAGCCACGCCCTGATGACCCAACTCACATACACATTCACGGCTGTCCAAGAACACACCAAATAACCCCCCCCCCCCTCCCCCATCCTCCTTCGTACATGTAGGTCTTGTAGTCAGAGATGATCTGTGCCAGTTGCGACATCATAGGCACAATACCCGACCCACTGCACACCAGCACAGTGTGGTCAAAGACACTGACGTCCTGCAGAGGCGCGCCATACGGTCCCATGATGATCACTTCGTTCTGCGGTGCTTTGGACTGGGCGGTAGGGTCGGTGGCCATTTGTTGGAAGTGTGTCCATAGCTTGCCGGTCCATCCGTCTGTGTGGGTGTATGTATATAAGTATACATATAGCAAACACATGTGCAGAGGTGTGGGTGTGTGCATGTATATAAGTATGAAAATAGATAACACCTGTGTAGAGGTGGGTGTGTGTACGTATATAAGTATGAAAACAGTTACACAGGTGTGGGTGTGTGTGTATGTATGCATATAAGTATATATATAGTTAACACCTGTGTAGAGGTGTGTAGAGGTGTGTGTGTGTGATGAGGGAGGGTGGCGTGTTTGTAGAAAGGTGGTGATGACGTGCAGCCGAGTACACTTCAGCAGGTAGTAACCCATCTACAACATAACCTACACGCACAGACAGTGCTTGTGCTGCTAAATCTAGACTGAGGCTCCCATACCCTCGTACACGGTGATAAAGAGCTTGAGGTAGCGGTCGTCGTTGGTTGATCCGATGCTGAAGGGATGCATCTCCAGCTTCGAAATGGCGGGTACATTCAGGAACAGATACTGTCCCGCACGGAACCCAAACCCCTGCAAATGCATGTGAGGTTAGTAACTGCTTGAATCCTGAACACCAACTCTCATATTGAAGAAGAGATTGATATCACTCACGTCTCGTGATATAATGGTTTAAAGTTATATCCATATATTGATGACCACGTGATATATAATGGTTTAGGGGTTATATCCATGTATTCATGATCACGTGTTATAATGATTCTTATTTTTGTCACTTACCTGTGGCTTCTGCACAGTCAGTACCATGGTCTTGGGAGTGTGGAACAACTGCGCGCCCAGCACACGTGACTGACGGCGAGTGGCAATGTACAGGCATCTGGGGACAATCAGAGGTGTAGGGTTTAGGGCTTGGCCACACTTGCTCACGATCAGAAGGTTAGGGTTTGTGGTATAAGGTATAGGAAATTAGTTACTTACTCCATATAAATATATCGATACAAGTATATGAATCAAGGTCATATATATATATATGTATACATACAAATACAAATACAAATACACACACACACACATATATATATATGTATATATTGTGATTGACTGTGGGGTAAACCCTGGGGTTAAGGTGATAGTGGTTAAGTGTTATAGTTACTCACTTGAGAAAACTCGGAGGATAGGGTGTAGAGTTTAGTTGGGATTGCTGTCATAGCAACACTTGGAAATACTCGAATACATGGTCATAGACCGCCGTCTTTGTCTTCGTTGCAGCACAACCAATATCTGTGCAGTTACCGTTACAGTGACACACACACACACCTATCGATGGCGTAGATAGTCATGGGGAAGACAAACCACTTCCATGACTGGCTGCGGTTGAGACCCTCTCGCGTTTGCACATCAAAGGTGTGCAAGATGGTGATGAAGTACATCGCAATGAACAGATGGTGGGTGTAGTAGAACCGCTCGTACGACTTGAGCTGTGGGAGGTGGACATAGTAAACGATTGGTCGTCAGTTGACATATACATATATATATATTGAAGGTGCTATATATATATATATATATGCATAGGTGTTCTCTATAGGTGACATTCATAGGTGTTATCTATAGGTGCTGTATATATATATGTAGTGTGTACTATTGCTACTTGACATACGTTCTTGGCAAATGCCGGGACGGCTGTAAAGAACATCACCAGATATATCCCAACGATGACGTATCCCGTGATCATAATCTCTTCCCCAAATCTGGCGCAGAAGTTCACTGGTTCGGTTCCAGCCTACAATATGCAGAGAAAGAAAAACGTTAAACGATTTGAGACGACTGCCAACCTCAAAACCTCACCTTATATCAAAACAAACACAAAACATTCACCTTAAACAAACACAATACACTCACCTTATACTTCGCGCACAGACTGCCAAAGAACAGCACGAACACCACTAGGGATACGATCAATTGAATGCCCATCTGATAGCCCAGATAGATATGCGCACGCACAAAGTAGTCGAAGGGGATCAGGCGCTTAAAGCGGGTGGACCGCAACACGGTAATAAAGTACCTGCAGACAGTGTAGAAGGAAGCATGGGGTAGTTAGAGAGGTGTTAGGCGAGGGGGTGGGTGTAGCGGCTGCGGTGGTGTAATGCCAGGCACGGGTGTGTGCAGGATACAATGTATCCTGCAGATACTACCACACACATACACACAATATAGAATTCACAGACCTGTCCCGCATATACACCCAGGCAGAACATACATGCACACACAGAACATACTTGTACGTATGGAACAAACTTGTATATACATACAGGACATATAGGACAAACTTGCACATACATATAGGACATGCAGAACATACATGCACATACATACAGGACATGCAGGACATACTTGCACATACATACAGAACATACTTGCACATATAGTACATACATACAGGACATGCAGAATATACTTGCACATATAGTGCATACTCGTACATACATACAGGTCATACAGGACATACTTGCACATATAGGAAATACTCACATACATACAGGACATGCAAGACATACTCACAGAAATACAGGACATGCAGGATATACCTGCACATATAGTGCATACTCGTACATACATACAGGACATGCAGGACATGCCTGCACAAACAAACAGGTCATGCGGGACATACTTGCACATATGTGCATACTCGTACATACATACAGGACATACTTTCACATACATACAGGACATGCAGGACATACTTGCACATATAGTGCATACCCGTACATACATGCAGGTCATGCAGGACATACTTGAACATATAGGACATACTTGCACATACATACAGGTCATACACAACATACTTACACATACATACAGGTCATGCAGAACATACTTGCACATACATACGGGTCATACACAACATACTTACACATACATACAGGTCATGCAGAACATACTTGCACATACATACAGGCCATGCAGGACATACTTGCACATGCTGATGGGCAGCAGAGACATTTGGAACAGTAGCGAGTGCATGGCCCCAAACTCAAAGCATGGGATCAATTTCTTTGGCCAGTAGTTGGGTGCTGTAGTGGGCAGAGTGTCATCCAGAAATCTCCACTACAAGAACGCGAATGGGTAGGGTTAAACAGTGTACGTCAATGGGAAGGGATAAGCCAGGTATGAGATAATGCAAGCCGTGAATACAAGAGAATTCTGGCAATGCGCATGAGCGAATGTAGCCGATGAGTATATACAACATATTGTGGGGGGAACGCGGCGCAAGTGTCACCCACTTGTTTTAGAGTTTAGGCTGTGCCGTATTGTATACACGTGGCTGAGCTTAAACCACACATAGTGTGCTGCGTACACATGTGACTGGTCTCATACTGCACACCGTGTAATGAGTGCATACGTGAGTGGGGTGTTACCTTCTCAATGAAGAACATGAAGAACACACTCAGCGTAGCTATGGCGTGTAGCAGAATCCACGTCCACAAGCGCCCGTTGACTCGCAGATTGTACATGAGACGCGTGAACAGACCCACATTCTTCAGCTCAGGGAAGTCCTGCACCTCATCGTCTGTTGGGTGCGAGAGATATAGTGAACGGTATACGAACAATGTTACTTTGAACTGTGCAATATATGAACATCAGATACTGTGGCGAAGGATGAACCGTGAGGGAGGGAGACAGATCTCCATAGTATCTCTATTCGGATGTACAATTGAGTTGCCTGGACATGCAGAGTACTGCTTTTTTAGAACAAACTGTGCTATTGTTGTGAGCTCTACTCGCATATACAATGAATGTGTATGGGCTTGACGCATATACATATATGCTGACATAGACAACAGTTTACGTTGTCAAAACTGAAATGGAAATATAATCAATGAACCCACCAAATAAATTCCTTCGCTATGTAATTCTCAAATTCTCATACCGATCAACGAATGTGCCGCCCTATACCATGTAAATGGCGTAGCTCGCAATAGAAACGTACCGAATTAATGACAGACCAATATGAAGGAACAAATAACACTGAGAGTAGATATGGTGTACTGGATATAGAAAACGAGCAATCGTATAGAAACTATATAGCGAGGTTCTAGGCTTGCGATTTCAACCGGAATGGAACGAGATGGGGATGTGCTTTTTTTATGGCTTATCTTTTATTAATCTATCGACAAGCATACCGGATAGTTACCAGTGTTCGCGCTGGTACATGGTGAACTTTCTCGCTAGCTGAAACACATATACACAAACGTCTATGTGCCTCAATACATATCGATTCCAGAAAACAACTATATACGTCGTGTTTCAAGAATTAGTACAACTATATAAATATATACATAGACATGTGTGACGGATATGTTACCGTCGCTTTCATACCGTCAGATCGCCTTTCAGGCTTTCTCTCCAGCTGTCTGGGCCGTGGGTGATCTTCGATGGTGATGGTGGGCTGAAATGATGCCATGCTAGTGTTGTCATCGTCATTACGACGATACGAGTTTACTGAGACGGATTCTGAACAGCAGAAGTATGGGTTGAGTATGCTTTAATGTTTAGATTCCAAATTCTTGAGTTATATTGTTTAGAAGTGTACATTGCGTGTTATCTAGAGTTTGACCGCGTCAATCAGATTTGCTTATAATTCCCCAGTTTGTTTGAACTTTGACCAACCGTCATATGACTCTGGTCGGTCATCCTGGCATTCGTAAACCTCTGATCACACATATGCAAAAAAAACTATATACATACCCTATGACTTACAATCCACGGACACCTCATACAGGTCGACACAACAATACACTACAAACTAGCATACTATGCATATGATTGATACATTTAGTGGCCTGTGTTTGCAAACTACAGGCTATGTTGCATACCGCCGTTATGAGCAGCATGTTCTTTGCTGGCACGTTTCTTTAGTTCATTGCTGGATCGGTTGTTCAAGGTTTTCGCCTGAGACTCGAGCTCACCCATCTCGCCAGATAGTCACTTCAACAAAAGTCTAATAAGACAGTTGTAATTAGTATTAACCTCAAAGAGTTTATGTATTGAATCTGGGAGTGACCTGTCCGTGTCCTAACATTCGCTTCTAAATATATTTAAAAATCTGGGTTAAAATGAAAAGTCAAAAGGGTGTAATAATCAAATGTAGAACCACCGGGGATGTCTATTCTCTCTCTACTACTAGAGGTTAGAGCAGGGCCAGGGAGTTAACACTCTCTCTTGAAACTTGCTTGGCGAGTAGTTGGCATAAAGAAACCTCGTGCAGCGCAGCAACTGGTATTATATATATTGTTTTTTTAATAAAATAAAACAAAACAAAACAAAACAAATTTGTTCTGGAATGCTGATATCACATACATATATGAGACCGTAGTTATGCTGAAGACCAATGAAATTACATCGTAAATCTAATGTGCGCCTATTGGTTGGGTTTTTATAAATTTATATATAAATGCACACTGCATAAAGTATTTATATGCCTTAGCAATTAGCATACCGGCATAGCCTTCTAAAGTTCTATGATCTATCGGTATTACTAAATCGGTCTGCATATCGAATAAAAAAATTAATTGATGTGAAAGTGAAAGTAGATTTTCAAACTAATACTCTGTTCAGACTACCTCAGGGTTCTTGTACAATAAATGATATACATATATCACAGTCACACACATAGTATAATTACATAACTATTGTTGG